ACCCCAACCCCAACCCCAACCCCAACCCCAACCCCAACCCCAACCCCAACCCCAACCCCATTCCCCAACCCCAAATACCCATACTATATATATTTATGTATTTATTTTATCCAGATATATTTATATATTTAAACCAAACATATTTATGTTTTAATTTTATACAAATATATTTATGCATTTATTTGTATAAATTTTGAAATAATATAATTTTTTATTTATATTTTATATATTGTAATTAGTCTTTTATATTTGCAAAATATCATTATTTGATTTGTAAAAAACTTTTTATTATTTTTAAATTTTTAAAATAATTTTAATATTTTTTTGTATAATTAAAAATAATTTTATCAATTTGTATAATTTAAAATTTATACTGTATTTTTTAAAAAAATATCAAAATATAAATATACATATTTTAAAATAATTTAAATATAATAATTAATAATATTTAAAATAATTAAATATTTAGTATTAATATTATTTAATAAAAAAATTTATAATATATAATATATAAAATTAATATTTTTAATATTTATAAATGAGCTATGAATATTATTTATTTTATTTAAAGAAAATTATAATACTATTAATTTTAAAAATAAAATTTATTTAATAAATTTGACTAAATTAAAAATGTTTAATAATATTTATATTTATTTTTAATTGTTATTAAAAATATTTTATATATTTTAATCATTATATAAATTTTCACCATTTAATACATATTTTATTTTTTATAATTATTCTATTAATTATATTAAAAATATTTAATATGTGATAAAATTAATATTATTATTTTATATGCATTTATAATATATTATAATATAATTATTATTAGTAAAAAAATTAAATATAATTATAAAAGTAAAAAAATTAAGAAAAAATGTAAATAATATAATAATTTACTTAGAAATTATTTTTTTTCAAATCAAATTTATATCAAATAAAACATGGTTTTATGTTACCATAACCGCCTAAAAAACCTCTTAATTTCAACTAGTTTTTTATGTAAAAATATCTAAAAAATAATCAAAAACCTCTTAAATTGTTAGAAATGTAAGCTATAATGAAAGATGATAATCAATTTTAAAAAGAAAAATTAGAATGTAGATAAATTCTAAAAAAAGAATAAGAATAGTATCAAAAAGCATGTGAAGAATATAATAAAAGATATAATTATCCTAAAAAACCATACAATCATTTTATATTATTTAATTAAGAATATAATATCAAAAATTAAAATAGCGGAGAATCATTAATAGAAAAAATAAAAAAAATAAAGGAAGTATATAAAAAATTATCGGAAGAAGAAAAATAGGAATATATTAAATTATACAAATAGCAAAAACAAAGATTTTAATTAGAAATTGAAGAATTCAACAAAAAAAATCAAGAACATAAAATTCCAAAATTCCAATAAAGAAATGGATATAATCTTTTTGTTTAAGAATTTGTTAGTAAATCTGGAGGAGAAAAATAAAAATAATTTTTTACTGAAGCATCGAAAAAATGGAAAAGTTTAAGTGATGAAGAAAAAATGAAATTCAGTGAAAAAGCCAAAACTGAAAACGAATAGAGATTTTAATAACTTTAAATTTTCCTTTGCAATCACAATTTAAATTACTTAGGGTTATAATAAATGTTGCAAAATAAAACTGAATAAGATTAATAAAATTCAGATTTAATTTCAAGATTAGATTCACCTTCGAATTCTGATAATGAAAAAAAAAAAAAAAAAAAAAAAAATAATGAAAAAAAAAAAAAAAATAGTAATGATTTGTAATATACATAAATACTCTGAATTTTTTTTAAACAAAAAAAACGGATAATGATAGACATGATAGACACATTATAAATTTATTTATTTGTCCTATTAATATTTTTTTTTATTATATATTTTAATTTAGCATTAATTATACAAAGATAACATTGATATTATTAATGAAATATAATTTATAATAACATAAATTAAAAAATGATAACTTTAATTAATTGATATTTAAATACATATCTTATCTTATCTTTAATTTTACATTTTAAATATTTTTTCCTTTTTATTAATTATAATATTTATTATATAAATTCTTTAGAAAATATTTTATTTTTAATAATATCAATTTATTTATTAAAGTTAATTTACAAATTTGATAAAAATTTAGATATAGATGCATTCTATGAAAAGTAATAGTTAATAATAAAATTTTTAGTTATTTTAAAAATTTATAAAAAATTAAATGATAATATTATAACTAATATAAATATTTTAAATTAAAACAATTAGATATAATTGTATATATATTTAAAACAAATAAATATTGTTTGTCAAATTCTCTTTACATAAATATAAATAAATTAGGATTTTTTAGAATAAAAAAATATTTTTCTAATTAAAGGCTATTTATTAATTATTTTCTAATATTAAATATGTATATAAAAATAATAAATTTGTATTTAATTCAAAATTAAAAAAAATGTAATAACAACTTCAAAATAGAGAAGATTCCAAAGTATAAGTTTTTCAAAAGCCAATTAAAAAATATATAAATTAAGTAAATAAAAATTAAATAAAAACCAGAAAACTAATTCATTTTTAAAAGATTCCAGATGAAATTTTGAATAATTAATTTTTAAATGAAGCCATAAAAATCTTACCATCTCATTATAATTTTGAAATACATAAGTCAATATGGAGAATAACAGAAACAAAGGAATAATTAAAAAAAGAAGTATATATATATATATATATATATATATATATATATATATATATAAACATATATTATATTTATATTAATAAACTAATAAATATATAATTTAGTCAATAATTGTAACTTTACAATTTCCTGAAGGATTAATGCTTTTTGCATGTTTAATTAGTGATATCCTTTAAAATTTCTCAAAATGTGAATGTATAATTTTAGCAGATGTAACATACGGAGCTTGTTGTGTTGACGATTTAGGTTCGAAAGAGTTAAATGCTAATTTACTTATACATTATGGTATTATTTTTAATAAAAAAATAAAATATATTGTATTATAATTTAATAAAAAAGGACATAGTTGTTTAATTCCAATAAATGAAACATGTATAAAAACATTATATGTTTTTGTTGAGATATAGATAGATATTGATCATTGGTTACAGACAATTTATTTGAATTTTAAGATAAAAACTAATTAATACATATTATGGGAACAGTTTAATTTAATTAAATAATGTTCTAAACGAAAGCAATTTTAGAAGAAAAAGGTTATAAAATAATTATGCCTTAAGAAAAACCAAGAAGTTCAGGTGAAGTTTTAGGATGTACATCTCCTTAAATACCTGTTTAAAATAATTAGAAAAATATTGTGTTATTTTTATGTGATGGAAGATTTCATATGGAAGCAACAATGATTACAAATCCCGACTTTTAGTTTTATTAATACAATCCTTATTCTAAAGTTTTAAGTATTGAAAAATATGATTATTAGAAAATGTTAAATATTAGACATTCTGAAATTATGAAGTCTTCTAAAATTAATAAAAGAGTAGGTATTATTATGGGTACATTAGGAAGATAAGGTTCACCTAATATTTTAAAAGTATCTAATTTTTTTTTTTAAAAAAAAATAATTAAATAAAAGAGAATGTAAAACTTGCTTGAAGAAAATAATGTTTCATACTTTATTTTATTAGTCTCTGAGTTAAATTTCTAATAATTAGAATACATAGCTGATGAAGTTGATTTCTTTGTTTAGATAAGTTGTCCTAGATTATCGCTTGATTGGGGAGCTTCATGTTGTAAACCTTTACTCAATCCATATGAATTTTTTGTTGCTATGAAATAAGTTGTATGGAAATAAATATATCCAATGGATAATTATTCTAATAATGGAGATATTTGGACTAACTTTTATCATAAAAATAAAGGAAAAAGTAAAATATATTTTTATTAATATATTAATAATAATAGGATGTGAATGTAAATAATAAAATAATGAATGTACTTGTTGCAAAAGTAAAAAAAATAGAATTTTAATATAATATGATAATTGAAATTTTATGTATATTTTTATAAAAATGCTGTAATTTAATATAAATAATATTCACTTAAATACATAAATTTTAAAAAAATATTAAATAAAAAATAAAAGAGATTAAAAATATTTAATAAAATTTATTTATTAATTTATTAAAGCAAAAATAAATTTTAAAAAATATAATGAAATAAAATTTTTATAAATTTTTAATTATTTTCAATAAAAAGATAATAATAAAACAGCAGTTAAGAAACCAAATATAAGTTATAATCCAAAACTGTTAGTATTTTCCTTTTAAGTATCTTTAGGTTATTATTTACTAGAATAAACATTAACTTGGAATGTTTATTTAGTATCAGAATCAATTGAAGCTGACAATGCTCTCAAATTATCTTTTTCAAGAGTGATTTTCAATGCAACTTCAACAATAGCATTTACGTGAGGTTAGAATAATAAAATATCTACATCTACCTATCCAAAACCTTATCTCAATGTCCACCATTAAACATTTCTGACATAATTATAAATACCAGCATCATCAACGAATTTAACAGTGACTACATGCAAGTATTTAGTATAAGTATTATCAACGAATTAAATTCTAACGTACATATGTTCACCTACAACATATGAAGGAACCTAACTCTTAAGATAATAAGAATTACAAGACTAGTCTTTGCAGGTATATCCTTCAGTGTCTAGATTTGCAACAATAATACATTATTGTCCTTTATCACAACCATCAGTAATTTATTTACTTACAGTCAAGTGGAAAACTTCGACTTAGTCTCTATTTGTATAGACTCTAATTTAGAATCTATGTTATCTAATAACTCTTCTTAAATGTGATAATTCGATTGCCAAACATATTTTTTGGTAAATAGTTCTTCCATCATTAGAAAGGACAGTTTCGGTTGTAAGTTCATAGACATTAATTAATGGAATCATTAAGGAAACTGAGTTTGAGGAAACTTAATTTATATAAGTTAAAGGTAAAGCAGAGTAACTATTACAATCTCTAGAATATAAAACTTAGGAATTTAATTACTATTTACATTCATCATCTAATATAACATTATTGGCTCTCGTCCAATCATAAGTTACAGTATCTAATACTAAAGAAACATTATTTTCATTTTTAACAAATTCACATTTAGAGTGTACGACCATATTTATGATTTAGTTAAATAATTACCATTCACATTTGGGAACATCAACAGATATATGGACTTCTTCACATTCCCATTAAGATCCTTTCATTAATCTATATCTAGGAGTAGCACATACACAATAATCTTTATTTACCATTACAGCTGCATCGGGTTATTTACAGCTTGTACATATATTGCATTCCGCACAACCTAAATCTTCTAATTCACAATTACAACTTGGATGACAGTTTTTGTTAGAAGGAACTTCATTTTAGGTGCATCTTAAACCGTCTTATGTAAGAGTCAATCCTATAGGACATACACATAATCCTTAGTTACATTGGAAACAACTTTCATGGCAAACAGGTGGGTTGCATTTTTTATTATTCTCAGAAAGTGTATATTTTTCGTTACATCCGCAAACACCTAAATCGCAAGTATGACATGATTCATCACAAGAGGGGGGTAAGCAAGATTATCCATCATTGGATTAGTCCAATCTTGAGGGCAGACAACAGAACAAGATTATTAATCTTCATTCAATTAGTGACCTTCATCACAAACACAAGTACCTTGATGGCATTAGAAACAACTTTCATGGCAAACAGGTGGGTTACATCTTCTTTTATTTTAAGTAAGTGTCCATCTTACGTTACATCCGCAAACACCTAAATCGCAAGTATGACATGATTCATCACAAGAGGGGGGTAAGCAAGATTATCCATCATTGGATATGGTCCAATCTTGAGGGCAGACAACAGAACAAGATTATTAATCTTCATTCAATTAGTGACCTTCATCACAAACACAAGTACCTTCATGGCATTAGAAACAACTTTCATGGCAAACAGGTGGGTTGCATTTTTTATTATTCTCAGAAAGTGTATATTTTTCGTTACATCCGCAAACACCTAAATCGCAAGTATGACATGATTCATCACAAGAGGGTGGTAAGCAAGATTATCCATCATATGTCCAATCTTGAGGGCAGACAACAGAACAAGATTATTAATCTTCATTCAATTAGTGACCTTCATCACAAACACAAGTACCTTCATGGCATTAGAAACAACTTTCATGGCAAACAGGTGGGTTACATTTTTTATTATTCTCAGAAAGTGTATATTTTTCGTTACATCCGCAAACACCTAAATCGCAAGTATGACATGATTCATCACAAGAGGGGGGTAAACAAGATTATCCATCATATGTCCAATCTTGAGGGCAGACAACAGAACAAGATTATTAATCTTCATTCAATTAGTGACCTTCATCACAAACACAAGTACCTTCATGGCATTAGAAACAACTTTCATGGCAAACAGGTGGGTTACATTTTTTATTATTCTCAGAAAGTGTATATTTTTCGTTACATCCGCAAACACCTAAATCGCAAGTATGACATGATTCATCACAAGAGGGGGGTAAGCAAGATTATCCATCATATGTCCAATCTTGAGGGCAGACAACAGAACAAGATTATTAATCTTCATTCAATTAGTGACCTTCATCACAAACACAAGTACCTTCATGGCATTAGAAACACTTTCATGGCAAACAG